GGATGCAATGGCTGATCACCACTGTGTGCCTGCCGTTTGTCACCTAGTACATACGCTGTGCATTATGTCCGCAATGACGTGCTGATTGCACGGCTGCCACAATCTGAAGCCGACTTACAGTCTGTCTGTGTCTTGTCTCGTTGGCCGTTCACCGCAGTTATTCGTGCTGAGCTGAAGTGTGTGTGTGTGTGTGTGTTGTTCTGGAAATCTCGACGTGTGGCCACATCACAGTGGGTGAAAGCCCAAGCCGGCGATAGCGGATGATCACGCCAACGCTGCCAACCTGAAATTCATCATCCATCGGGATACTTGCAGTGGCGTGACATGTGCTCAGAGCGAGCGTCATCCGGATCATCAATTTTGCAAACGCAGAGAGCCGTGCTGAACTTGCCAACGTCCGAGAGTAGTGCGGAATTTCCTTCGGATTCAGGCAGCGAAGGATGCGACGACACATGAGTGCTTTGCAAGGGCAGGTGAGTTGTCTGCGCTTCGTTGGGTTGTTTATCGTTTTTATTCCCTCCGCAACGTTCTAGCTTCTCCTGCCTTGTTAACTTGCAACCCTGTCACAAAGCAAATGTGTGTGTGCACGCCTGTACATGGCGACCACCGAGTGAGACCGACATTTTGCTGCAGGCGGGGGCAAGGCTCCACTGGATGCAATGGCTGAACACCATTGTGTACCTGGCGTTTGTGACCTAGTACATTGCACTTGCTGTGCATCGTTTCCATAATGACGTGCTGAATGCACGGTTGCCACAATCCGAAGCTGACTTCCTGTCTGTCTGTGTCTTGTCCTGGAACATGGTGTTGCACCATTGATGAGGTTTTGGACGCCGAACCTTGTACTCGCAAAGAGGTGGACAGGACCCAATCACCAAAAATGGCGGGGCCGTTTTTTTTGCCAAAATTTGCCCGTGTGACACCGACCGAAATCAGCTCAAATCAGACATTCGCAACAGTTCACTTTTCATGTCCTAAAGGGGATAGCAAGCCACACAAGTCGGCATGTCGAACCTGCTTCTGCTGAAGGCGCTTTGAGTCTCGAGGAAAAGTGCACGCCCGTGCAACAAGTTAGGCTTCGTTGTATAGCACGGTTACCACAGCCTGAACGTTGACGTCCTTGTATTCGTCAGTCCTGTCAGTCGCCCGTCGCACTCACCTTTGCTGTGCCAGAGTGCGCGTGCGCGCGGCACACGCATACATCCGTGTGTGTGTGTGTGTGTGTGTGTGTGCGTGTGTGTGTGTGTGTGTATTGTAAAGGTGAGTGACCCGCAGGCAACATGCCGGTGGATTTTGGTTGGAGGTTGCTGTCGAGGCAAGGCCGACGCCAACTCCAGCAAGTCTTGGCAATTTTTTTCCTCCTTAGCATATCTTGTTCGTGCATGAAGTATTGCAAGTCTGACACGGTCCTGTGTTTGGCATTCAAGACTGCAGAAAATCGTTCGCCAGGGTGTTAACCAAAAGCTTATCCAAGCGTGTCTGTTTGCCTGCGCAGGTCCACCGTCCAACAAACTACACCCTGAGCCTTCTCTCAGATTCTGCAGAGGAGCCTGCCTGCATTTGCAAAGCTTCATCTTGGCTCCTTCTAGATACGGTAAGACGGCACTAACATTATTCAAAGGTTCCTGTCTCTAAATCCATATGTCCAAAGACTCTAGAAATTTCTAGATCAAATATCGTACATATTGATATGAAATACATAACTGTATGTAATTTTATCTGTATATCGTTCTTAGTTTGTGACTATATAAATCTTCATGTCTCTATATCTGTATATTTGAATGTTTTAAATCTACCAGTGTGTCTCGTTCACGTGTGTATATATATATATGGTAGCCCCATGAACTACCGACCCTCGTTTTGTATCGTAAATACCGTGTTAAACCTGCTTTTCCGGCAGGTCCGGATTCTGTATCTTGCGAAGACTGCCAAAATCAAACTCAAATTTTAAGGAGAAGTGCTAGAAAACTCGTTCAAATTCGACGTGAGCACGCACTCAACGGCAACGCTGTACTCTTCCAAA